TCCCCAATACACACACACACACACACACACACACACACACACACACACACACACACTATTCTGTACATGTTTTAAAAATAAAATCATAATCGTTCATTTTTAAAATATAGGCTCTGGGGCCTGCATCACTGGTGCAGCAAAGTTAGCTATTTCTTGCTATCCCTGTATCCCTATCCGAATACCACTCTGAGTCCCAGCTGTTCTGCTTCTGATCTGGCTTACTGCTAGTGTTACTGGCAAAATGGCAATACATGGTCCACATACTTGGGCCCCTGACACCCATGTGGGAGACTGGGACAGAGCTCCATGCCCTCAGTTTTGGCTTGGCCCACATCCTGCTATGGTGGCAATCTGGGGAGTGAACTAGCAGATGGAAGATCTCTGTCATTCTGCCTTTCATATAAATGATCTTTTTTTCAGATGCAGGCTCTGCCCTGGATTATAAAATATCATACAGGGTATGATCCATATTATACAGAGATTACTTTTTAAAGTCAGCAGAGAATGGGCAGAGCAATTATGTACTTAAATAACATAAGCCTTATCCAATATTTGTTAATTTTTTATTTTTCTTTTTAATGTTTACATTGCTGAGAGGGATACATGCTCATGGGAGCCTCTGATTAGGTAGGGAAGGTCAAGGTATGGAAAATGGTGGGTGAGATTTTTTTTTCTTCCTTCTACATCTGACACACATGCAAAGGGGAAGGGGAACCTGCTACTTGTTGTCAATCTATATCAGCACCCAGGGATGGACACAATCCTTTTACATCACCTTAGAAACCACAATGTAGGATGAAATGTTCTAAGGTGCTGCTTGAATGGTCTGGATAGCTCTGAAATATTGTCAACATTGTTGCACCAAGGTTAAGAAATCTTTCTATGGTCCACTGTCTCACCAGGTCTACTTTGGTGTATCCACTGAGCTAGACATTTGCCGAAAAGCCTGGCCAGAGAGCTGTTTAACCAATTTTGCTTTCCATCCTCTGACGAGGCACTCAATGTCCCCTGTTGGCTTAGATAAGCTAGATGTCATGTCTTTCATGTGCATCTGGGCATGTTCTCTATTGCAAAGGTATCAGTAACTATGGAGGCTCATTCCTGATTCATGCCCTCCAAGTAAAGATCACATGTGACTTTCCTTGAGGCCAGAGTTTGAGTCCAGCATTTTAGTTGGAATGTCCCCCAAGAAACTTCTGCTGGGGTAACCCCAGACTTGTTTCTAGTGTGGGCCAGCCAATGCAGGGACAAGTTCGTATTGTTACCCAAACCAGCCAATGCACATACTGGTGGATGTAGCCTGGTCAGTTCTGCCCCCAACCCCATGCGACTGGTGGGTACTATGACCTAGCCCAACTTAGCCCAATCCAGGCCGCCACATGCCTGGCCTTCATACACTCCAGCAGTGGCTGTGGCCTAGATGAGATTACCTGGAAAATTCCTACCAGGCTGTCCAATCCAGCCCTGGTTTTTGCATATGCCAGCATGTGTTACAGCCTATCTCAGCCTGCAAATCCTCCAGCTCTCATCCATACACATGGATGCTGCAGCTTGGCTCAGTTTTACCTGCCATCAGACCCAGTCCACAAGCATGCCAACGGATGTGGAAGCAGTGGCCTAAAAGAGGGTCCCAAAGTTCCTCTAGCAGGCCAATTCCCAGCCCTTGATCTTGCATGTGTCAGTGGATGCTGCAGCCAGCCTGACATGGCCATATACAGTCTAAGCAGTTGCTGGCAGGTGTTGTAACCTGATCTGCTCTCATTTTGGGCTCTCTTGAGAACTAGTAGGTGTTCTAGCCCAGCCTGGTTTTTCCCATGCTCCAGACACAGCCCATATACATGCCATAAGGTTCTGCAGCCTGGCCTGGGCTGGCCTGCCCTCAGACCCAGATCTCACACTCACCAGTGGGAGCTACAGCTTAGTAGGGGAGCCGCTAAGGTTCCACTACCAGGCCCATTCCCTGCCCCAGAGCTTGCATGTGCAGTCAGGTGCTTCAATTCAATATATATTACTATGAATGAAGGTAAAGGATTTTATAAAGGGAAAAGGGTGAACCAGGACTGGAAGACCTGAGTCTAATAACACCAATTTCTCACATGACTTTCAGTAAACTAGTTAACCTTCATCAACTGCATGCAGCCATTTGTACAACAGGTTGTTAGAATTGATGGTTTTATAATTATTTACTATTTCATCTGCTGTTATAAATACATAGTATTTCACTGTATATAATGAATTCACTAAGCAAAGTAGTAAAGCAGGAAACAGAATTTAAGCTAAGTAGAAAAAACAGCTTTGTTAATGTCCTTGAGCTCCTGACCAGTAGAAATTATTCAGAAAAACAACCTGCCTTTGAAATGGCTAACACTTCCTGGAACCAACATTTTCTGCTTTTTGAGTGTCAGGAACTGTACTAAGCTCTTTACTTACGTCACCATCATCAATTCATTTAATGTTTATCACAGCCTCAGTACAGTAGATATTTTTGTTCTTCAGCATAGACAGGTCTCACAGAGATTAGCTTACCCAAGGTCACACAGCTAAACTCAAACCAAAGCCCATGTTTTTAACCACATTATTATGCCACTTCCTATTAAATTATGAGCGACATAAATTCTTACTTAATCCTGCAAGTACTGATTATGATTCTTCATTAGAGAAAATTGCTGTAACTGGTTGTCAATCAAAAAAAAATCAGATTAATCACTTAAATGTGAAGATTATTGAAAATATTGAAAGTATATACACTTTTTAAACAGAAATGCTGTATTTTTGGTTATATGCAGTGTTTCTTTTTAATAAAACAGAAGTAAACAGTATTTGCCATATCTAGAAGACCAGCAAGAATTTTAAGAGGTGATGATATTTACTCTTTAGGCAAAGCAAAAACTTTATCACAATTACCCCAGGTGAGGATTGGGGATCTAGAAAAAGTTTCAAGAGAAAAGTTCTTCTGACAGCATCAGCATTGGGTCCCAGTCTCTAATATTTTGAAAAGTTATACTATAAATAACAACAAAAAGAGTAGCTGAGCCTTAGTAATAGAGCTTCTTTGTTGCTTCATGGGAGACCATGACTACTAGTTAACGGCTAATCGGGAGAGTGGGTGTGACTTTAATCCTCTTGCTTGTTATGCAGATTTTTTAAAAAGTAGAATGGGGCGGGGCCGGCACCTGTGGCCTAGGAGCTAAAGTCCTCACCTTGAATGCACCAGGATCCCATACGGGCGCCAGTTCTAATCCCAGCTGCTCTACTTCCCATCTAGCTCCCTGCCTGTGGCCTGGGAAGGCAGTTGAGGATGGCCCAAAGCCTTGGGACCCTGCACCCGCGTGGGAGACCCGGAATAAGTTCCTGGATCCTGGCTTCGGATCGGCATAGCATCGGCCGTTGTGCTCACTTGGGGAGCCTTCCGTCTCTGATGAGACGGAAGATCTTCCTCTCTGTCTCTCCTCCTCTCTGTATATCTGACTTTCCAATAAATAAATAAATCTTAAAAAAAAAAAAAGTAGACTGGGGCAACCACTTAGCCAAGCAGTTAAAACATCCCAGTCTCACATCAGAGCATCTGAGTTTGTTCCCAAGTCCCACTCCCAATTTCAGCCTAGGCCTGATGCAGATGGCGGGAGGCAGCAGGTGCTGGCTCAAGTCACCGAGTCCCTGACAAACAGGCAGGAGACCCAAGCTGAGTTCCTGGTTCCAGCTTCAGCCTGGCCTCACCTTGGTTTTTGAGGTTATTTGAGTGAGCCAATGTGTAACATTTTTCTTTTGGTTAAATAAAGGCATCTTTCAAAATATAGGATAAACAAAATTATAAATGTATAAATCCATGCACTAAAAATATTATGACTTACTTTCATCCCTGCTCAGAATCCTAAGTGAATTTTTTCCTACATACCCTCAACATACAATCTTTCTTTTTAAAGATTTATTTTTATTGGAAAATCAGATACACAAAGAGGAGGAGAGGCAAAGAGGAAGATCTTCATCCACTTACTCACTCCCCAACCGGCTGCAATGGCTGGAGCTGAGCCCATCTGAAGCCAGGAGCCAGGAGCTTCCTCCAGGTCTCACATGTGGGTGCAGGGTTCCAAGGCTTTGCACTGTCAACTGCTTTTCTAGGCTACAAGCAAGGAGCTGGATGGGAAGTGGGGCTGACTGGACACAAACCAGTACACACACTGGATTCAGGCGCATGCAAAGTGAGGACTTTAGCCACCCCCTCAATATACAATCTTATCTCTAGTAGACGCTCAGATTTTCAGACAGATAACCTCCATCTCATATTTTTCACCCCAGCAACAACCATTTCTGATCAGCCACACACAGACACAGCAAACAAATTAGATCAAAATAATGTAGAGGCATAAAGAATAAAATACCCAAAGAGAGAGGCATTTATAGGAATGCATTGTATAATCAAAACTTTTTTCTGTTATTTCAACTCTCTTTGTCCTTCCTATGGGAGAAAAAGAAACTCTTCAAAAACATAATTCACATCAATTAATGAAAGTATTGGTTTCATATACTGTCTAACATTCAAACTCAATTTCTTCTTCTTCTTTTTTTTTTTAAAGATTCATTAATTTTATTGGAAAGGCAGACTGACAGAAGAAGGAGAGACAAGATCTTCCATCCACGGTTTACTCCTAATTGGTCATAATGGTCAAAGCTAAGCCAATCTGAAGGCAGGAGCCAGGAGCTTCTTCCAGGTTTCCCACACATGCGCAGGATCGTCAAGGCAGTGGACTATCCCCAACAAGCAGGTAGCTGGATGGAAGTGGGGTAGCTGGACACAAACTGGAGCCCATATATGATCTCGGCAGTTGCAAGATGAGGAGTTAGCCACTGAGCCATGGTGCCGGGGGCCCAAAACTCAATTTCCTCTTAAATCTGGAATGTTGTTCTCTAAAAACTCATAGAAAGCCGAGTCCACATGCATCCTAAGTAGTCAAAAGAAAAAAAAAAACCAAAAGAAACAAACAAGAATAACAGCAAATTACCCTTCTTTGATCCAACCCTGGAGGAAGCACTGAAGAATTTCTTCACTGTGGTAACCTTTCGGGTCTTTTCATTGGTTTTCTTTTCTTCAAACTTGGAAAAAGTAAGAGATTGGGCCCCTTGGTTGCTCTGACTGCTGGCAAAGGCCTCTTCCTCCTCTCGCTGAAGTCTGTAATTCACAAGACAATTAGGAACCATCTACATTTGCTCCAAGTGTTCTCCATAGTAGGTCATTACTCAGTGAATTGAAGAGGATCTAAAACTTATAGAACTAGAGGCTAAAGCTATCAAATGGTCTGAGTTCTCAGCCCTACATATTACTTAAGATTTCAGAATGGACTTCTCAATTAATCACACTCACTCGGCAGTCTCACTAGGGTTACATGAAGGGAAGTCCAACCCTTTTTCCCACGCATGGCTGAAATGGACAAATAAGTAAATCATTACTACAGAATGGGGCTGTTTATGTCATAGAGCAGGAAGTGGCCGATATGAAAACACAGCAAAGAGTGGAATCTGCTGGAGGAATATGAGATGGGTCACCTGAACAGAATCTGAAAAGGTGACTAGGATTCTACTGAGTGAGAGAACTTTCCAAGGAATCAGCACTGCACATATGAAACCAAGTGGTTTGTTCCAGAACAAGGACACCACAAGCACAGCACTGACAGTGTGATGGACTCCAACACCGGGCAGACAGGAAGGCATCAGCAGTGGGCCTTGATTGCCAAGGCCACAGTTATTCTGGATTTCTCCATGTGGCAAACCGAAGAATGTATCATTATGGGAGCTGTGCATCAGACAGATAAGGCTGTAGCTTTGTGAATAACTCAAGGGGTAAAACAAACACAGACAATATATTATAAAGGTATAAAAATAAAAGGAGGTAAAACTCAACAAGCTTTTCTGAGCTACAATAAGTGCAATTAGCTGCCAAATAAAGTGAAGAGGAAATTAAGAATAACCCCAAGCTACTTGTTGGGATACTGGCATTCTATAGTCCCAACAAGTAGCTTGGGGTTGTTCAGGACTCAACTGCTCTATTTCTGGTTAGTCCTTTACTAATGAGCCTGAGAAAGTAGTGGGGAATGGCCTGAGTCTTGGAAACCCTGCACCCATGTGAGCAATCCAGCTGAAGTTAGTTCGGTGATGCTGGCTTCCGGTCCAGCTTGGGCTATTGCTGTCATCTGGGGATTGAACTAATGGATGGAATTACTCCAAAATCTTCTAGTTAGCTGTATAATCAGTAATGCTATTAACTGACACAGGAGGAGCATTAGGAGGAAAATAATGAGAGTGGGGACACATAAACAAAAGCAGGAAATCTGTCTGAATCAACTGCACTTGAAATATATATAACTGAGTATAATCCTCAGAATGAGGAAAGTAATTCATGATGAGAACTGTGTGCCAAGTCTGTGCTCAGTGTATCACATAAAGGTACTTCAAAGTTTATGGGGAAAGAGGAGTTTAAAGTTTACTTTAGTAGAAACACTTTGACATCCACACAGTTTTTTCATTATACATACTTTCCATAACTTTCTGAAGATCCTCTGGTATACATCACTTCCTTCAATCTTTACCACAGGGTGTGCACATACCCACTATTCTACTCTAAGGAGCTTACTGCCAAAGAGAACTGAGACTAACATACTCAAAACAATAAACAACCTAGAGAGAGTAAAAATACAAAATGAAGAAATCATTAAAAGCTATGCATTAAATGCTGACTGCAAAAAGGGAAGTAAATCTTTTCTTGTAATATTAAGTTGACTGGTTGATAGCTCAAAAAAATTGAAGAAACATGTATTTGGGTAACAACAGAGTACATAGCCAGTTAATTCCCGCCAAATTAATGTCCCATTACCTCTCTGCCAGTTCCCAGTCCTCCTGAATCTGCTTCTGCCTGGCTTTATGGTACTCTTCTCTCCAGCACTTGGAGCAGAAACCCTGCCAAGCAGGGTTGCCGTAGTAACCACATCCTTTCTTGCATAAGAGCTCTGACTGATCCACATGAATTCCTCGGCGTTCGGATTTCAGGCTCATCTTCCTCCTGCAAATCAAGAGAAAAACAAATTGGTGTTGACACACTGTATCTAACAGAAACATTACAACTGTGAACAATATAAAAAGTGAGTCCATGATTGCCAAGTTGCAAGGGAAGGAAAGAAGAAAAGAGGTAAAGAGCAAAGGAAGAAGGAAGGAAGGAAGGAAGGAAAGAAGGAAGGAAAGAAGGAAGGTAGGAAGGAAAGAAGGAAGGAAGCAAGGAAAGAAGGAAGGTAGGAAGGAAAGAAGGAAGGTAGGAAGGAAAGAAGGAAGGTAGGAAGGAAAGAAGGAAGGAAGGAAAGAAGGAAGGTAGGAAGGAAAGAAGGAAGGAAGGAAAGAAGGAAGGAAGGAAGGAAAGAAGGAAGGAAGGAAGGTAGGTAGGAAGGAAGGTAAAGGTTAAATACTGCAAATTTCCAACCCAACTCTCTTTAACAGACATCTTATACACTGCTTGAAATAATATAGAATTCTTTAAGAAAAGACCAATGCTGAGTCAGACCTAAATGTAAGATCAGGAATAAAAAATTCCTAGAAGAAAACAAAAGGAAAAGTTTTCTGACACTGAATTTGAATATGATACCAAAAGTATAAACAAAAGAAAAAAGTCAAAGGAACTAAATCAAACTTAAAAGACTTCTGCACAGCAAAGGAAACAACCAACAGAGTGAAATACAGTTCACAGAACAAAAGGGGATATCTGCAAACCAAATGCTTTTAAAGACTTGATACTCAGAATATATAAGAAACTTCTACAGCCCCGGCTTCACAACAAAAACCAAATTATCTGACTTTAAAAATGGGCATAGATTTGGAATAGCCAGTTCTCCAAGGAATACGCACAAATGGCAAACAAATATAAAAAGACACTAAATAGTGCTGGCATGACAACTCAACTGGTTAATCCCTCCCCTTCAAGTGCTAGCATCCCATGTTGGCACCAGTTCACATTCCAACTGCTCCATTTCCCATCTAGCTCCCTGCTTATAGCCTGACAAAGCAATAGGGGGTGGCCCAAAGCCTCAGAATCCTGAAACCACATGGGAGACCTGAAGATGCTCCTGATCCCTGGCTTTGAATCAGCTCAGTTCCAGCAGCTGTGGCCATTTGGGGAGTGAGGTAGTGGATGGAAGGTCTTTGACTCTCTTTTTAAAAGACACGACACTAAGTATCCTGAGTCACAAAAAGATGAACAACAGTGGCAGAAGTCTGGCTTACAAATTAAGTCATGGGTTGGGATGCTCACATGCCATAATGGAATGTGTGAGCTTTAACCACAGCTCCATTCCAGTTCCAGTTTCCTGATAATGGGCACCCAGCAGGCAGCAGGTAAGGATGGTTCATCCCAGACTGAGTTCTCAGTTCTTGGTTTTGGTCTGGTACTGTCTTTTCAGAGTGTTGTGTGAATAAAGTTAAATTTTTAAGGTAAGTGCTTTATAATCCCACTTGTATGACATAGCTAAAGTACTAGAATGACAGGTATCATGGGATGGGGTGAGGGATGAAGGAGACTCACTGTCCACTGGGAATGGAGCTTCAATTCTGCCAGATGGAAAAAAACACAGAGCCTTGTTACAGCATATTAATATAACTATACTATACACTAAAAAGCAGGCAAGAATGTGGCTTTTTATATTAAAAACAAAACATTTCATCACTTTTGTTAAAAAAAATTATTAGTATCCTTGGTTGCTACCAGAACTTCCACCTTATCCTGAGGGACAAGTACAATCCTGTTACAATGTATAGTTTGTGTCAAGAAGACAAATGCATTTCAACAACGGGAAAATGAATACTTGGCCTCGACTCAAACAATTCGACATTTATTATGAAAATGAATGTAATTAAAGCTTCAGAACATAACATTAACTGCTTGGCACAGCATTCAAGGTCTTCAGCAATCTAGAACAAATCAAATTTGTTAGCTACTACTCACTACATGTGACAGCTACTTCCCACAGAAACAAGGTAGGCGCCGTTCCCCATTGTTACATGAAAAAAAAAAGGAGGTTCAGAGAAATTTCTGAATGTATGTAAACTCTACTAAAAACAAGCAACAGAGGGCCTGGCGGCTAAAATCCTCACACCTTGAACACGTTGGGATCCCATTTGGGTGCCAGTTCTAATCCTAGCAGCCCCGTTTCCCATCCAGCTCCCTTTTTGTGCAAGGACAGCCCAAAGACTTAGGACCTTGCACCTGCGTGGGAAACCCAGAAGAAGCTCCTGGCTCCTGGCTTCAGATCAGCTCAGCTTCGGCCGTGAAGCTACATGGGGAGTGACTCAGCGAACAAAAGATCTGTCTATCTGCCACTCTGTATACCTGACTTTCCAATAAAAACAAATGAATCTTAAACAAACAAACAGTAAAACAAGCATCAGAAAAAGGATCAAAACCAAGGAATATTCCCAAACTCTTGAACTACATTGCTTCCATTCTTTCTACCCAAATCCACATGCCTGAGCATGAATTTCAACCATACCATAATTTCCCACACAAATCAATCACGCACATGCCTAGGTTTAGAATTTTTTCTTTCTGTCTAGGTAAACATGATTCTCTCCAAAGTTCACTCTAAGAACCATCTTCTCAAACTGTTTCTGTCTTCCTCCTGCTTGGAAGCACACCGAGGAGCTGCTTGTGGTCCTCACCGGGCTGGCTGCGTGTTCAGGCTTGCAGATAGAGACAGAGTTGATTTGTGGTCAGCCTCCACAAAGATAGTGTATAAGCCACCCTTTAAGATTTGATATCAATTCGAGGGATTAGGTAAGGTTAAAAAGTTAGAAAGTCATGTGGATAAGGAGAAACAAAAAATGTGTCATGAGGGTTGGCTATTAAATTAGAAAAATTTCCACCTGCAACTTTTCTTATTCTACAACCAGGAAAATACTAGACTTTCTACAAAGCTGAGTCTGCATGGCAGGTAAATTAACAAGGCAGTCTTCACCTGTGACAAATGGCTCTAACTGACGCTGATGTACTTCATCTAGCTCTATTTTCTTCATGCTGCTAAAATTTGACAGGTATTTCCTTTCCCTCTGCAGATATACAGGACACACACAGATAAAGGATTACAGAAAACTTGTTTGTGTCAAGTATCTATAAAATATTAAGTCTACTTATCAAAACTAAGGAATTACTTTTCCCATTTCAAATGAATAAACTAGGCTTGATGATCTCAGGTATTCAAAGAGCTATATACATTGGACTTAAAATTGGAAATAACATCTTAACAAATTCCAAAGTCAGTTTCCTTGTCTACTACATATTTAAATTTACTTACTCATCACAAATGATCATGCGGTAAACAGCTACCCAACAATTTCCATTCAAATTGAAACCACATGGTTCCCATTCTTCATATAAATAAACTGGCCAACAAGCAGAGAAATAGTGGCAGATTACAGTGTCTGCGCTAGAGAAACTCAAACATACAGGCAAAAACTAAGCCCACATCATGTGAATTCCCACCATTAATGCATCTCAAACATTCCACTAAGAGTCAATTGTGCACAGAATTAAGCCAGGGATCCCTGGTGATGCAACTGATGGAGCATGTCCTTGCCCCTAGAAAGCTGAAACTGAAAATAGAGATTTGAGAATTCAGAAAAAGAAAAGTATTAGGAAGCTGTGGGAGTCCTAAGACAGCATCTTGGGGTAGGCGTTTGGGCTCCCAAGATGGGTGTATCACTTATCAGAGTACTTCAATCAGGGTTCAACTGTGACTCCAGATTTCCCTCAGAGGCAGCAGGAACAGGCACATTGTATTTAGTTCCTGCTTCGCATGCAGGAGACCTGGATTACATTCCCACTTCTTGGTCCAGCACTATTATGGGAATTTGGAGGAGTAAACTAATGAATGTGAGCTCCATCTTTGTCCATGTCATTATATTTCTTTCTGCTCTCTATGCCTCTCAAATTAAAAACATAGTAACACTTTCTTAAAACCAGCCTTGACTTACATTGACTATAAAGAGTCTTGGAAAAGATGACATAAAAAGAGAAAACACTCTGCAGAGGAACATTTTTTAAAATATATGTATCTATTTTTATTAGAAATTCAGATTTACAAAGAGGAGGAGAGACATGGAAAAAAATATTCCGTCCACTGGTTCACTCCCCAAGCAGCCACAATGGCTGCTGAAACTAAGCTGATTCAAAGCCAGGAGCCAGAGAATCAAGATGGCGGCAAAGGGTGCAGACATGTTTGAGAAGATGGAAAATTATTAGGGTAAAGAACAGAGAGTAGATTACAGAAAAGTTAGGGGTCAGGAAGTCAACAGGGAGGTAACTTGGGAACCCCTGGACACACAGAAGAGGCGACGATGCGGTAGGGTGTTACAGGGAACACAGCAGCCACCCATGAGCAATGATCTGGACTCCAACAACAACCAGGGATCCAGAGGTGGCCACAGATCAGCCCTTGCAGCAGCCAGGTGGGAGCTTGGGAGGTAAAGACAGGCTGGAACTGGCCAATCCTGCTAAATACTTTGACCAGCAATGAACAGAAAGGGGGCTGGGGCTGCGGACTCTGCAGGGCAGACTGGTAGTGGGTCCGAGCCAACACCACAGGGATCAACTGCTGGAGTGGGCATGCTTCTAGCTAGTCACACCCAGCTCATTTCATGGAGAGGATAGCGCCAGCTTCGTGTCCTGCAGGATATGGGTGGTCCCTGGATCAGAAAGCCAACAGCCCAAACTCTCCAACAGTGCTCCACTGGGCTCCATCTTGTGTGTTTACCTGAGATCAGTGCTGCTGATAAACCAATTATCTGGGACAGCTGGTGTCTTCCTAACCCAGGACACTGATCGAACATAAAAACTGACTTGTAGATCTGTAGGTAATACATCTTAGAAAACTACACTAAGGAGAAAAATACATCAAACAGGATTGCAATGTCAAAAGTTAAGAGACAGAGGTACAATGAATGTTACCAAATACTCTCCAGTTAGAGGAACAAAAGCCTCTAACACCCTCAGAGTTAACTGAGAAAGACATTGAAAAAATGGGA